AGGGTGGTAGGACGGGGACTTTTTGGCGGAGTATTCTGATTTCTGAACTCTTTACCTTAGAGGGAAGGACAGTTTGGTGTGCTGCCCACTAGATGAAACAAGTGACGTCTTTAATATCTACCAAGATTTAAATAGGCTTCCCTTGGTTTCAGCACATCTCATTTTGTGCTTCGACACTGGTTTTATATTTGGCGTGATAACACTCACGGAATGTTCCCACCCCCTCCTTCCTTTCGTATTTTTATTTTTTTTCTTTTTCTCACCTACTGGACATTAACACACGCTTATTCTTATATCTATGATACACTCTTCTTTTGCATATTTGCCTTTAAACTCTCCCCTCTGTACTCCAATTTTCCGTCTCATCCCTCTTTGCCTTGTTTTTTTGCCATTTCTCTTTATTCCGGGGTCTATTGTCTATTCTCCTCATTCTATACTGGCCCTTTTCCCACCTCCTTATCTCTTTGTCTTTGCAGTGGTCTACTTTAAACCATTTTAAAAGACGAACAATTTATATAAATGATGTAATGGACGGATATTATAGGTGTGAGGACTGTGGGATATAAAGTAGCGAGCATGAGATGAGATGAAGGACGGAAGAAGTGAAGGAGAAGAGAGTGAATAATGCTAGCGTAATGGTGTAGGAGAGATAGGTGATTTGGAGGTAGGATGGGCTCTACAGGTTGCAGTGCGGAATTCCACTCTAAGGATTGTCTTTGAGACCAGGACAACATTTGTCTCTTCACAGATCTGGTGGGGTTATATTGTGTTGTGTGAATTGAAACGGGTGTTATTCAAGGCATAGGTGGTTTTGTTCGCAATAAATGCTATGATGCTTCACCACTTTGAATGGCGCCCCTTGGCCACTCCACTCATCCATGCACCACCATTCCTTCTTCGTCACTCATGTCCATCTCTTTCAGTCTCATGATGCGTGTTCTGTTTTTAGTCATTTTTTTCTACGCTATATTTCCTTCTCTCTTTCTCATTTCCCTTATTTTACCTGTCTTTGCAATTGCTGGTATCCCTTAGCCGCTTGAGCATTCGTGTCACGGGTTGGACAGTTTGAGTTACCAGGCTTTGCCTCTCCGACCACAGGCCTTTCTCATCCTCATTCTCTCACCCTCCCCAGCATTTACAACTAATCATGCACAGTTTGACATTAACACAGAGGTGTGGAGCCAGTCAAAGAGTCAATTGCATTGATGATTTGTTTAATTTGCATACTTTTCATTTAGCCACCACCAGTTCAAGACATGGGGATCTATCTGATCGGTATTCGGTAGTCTAGCGTAGTAACGCATCTAGCATATTTATTGCACGATGCACTGATTTGTATTTGGAGGCTCTGCTAGATATGGTAAGCTGTGTTGGAGGAGGGGGCGTGGATTGAGGAAAGGATGGCCAGGAGTAAGATATGAGGATAAGGTATTTTTAGGTAGGATATAATTTCATGCGGTGTTTAGGATCTGAAGTATAGTAGTTGAATGTATTGTATAATTCAGGATGTAAGTGGAGTGTTTCCGAGTTATAGATAGAAAGACAAGGTTCCAAAAAAATATCGCCAGCTGGGGATGTATACAAGTCATTTATGTATGCGTATGAGTCGCAGTGTATGGGTGGATCGAACATTGCCAAGCCTGTGTACATGGGAAATGGAGGGGGGAGAGAGTGACGATGAAGTTAGCACCGTGACGATTTCCTCCAGTTGCTGCATTTAGAACATGTAATGTCTTCTTAAGTGTTTGCACAGATATGCTGGATGTGGGATAAGAGAACAGTCATAAAGTATATATTATGATCTCATTTATTATGTGTATCCTGTCAACCTCCGCGGTTCCCAGACACAACGACTTCACCCTTTGGTCCGCACATCAAAGACACACAGCAATAAAATTGGATTTATCACAATCGAATTAAGCCACTTGAATGAGAAAAATGTATAAATAAGCGGTATAATTATAGTGCAAAGTAAAAATGTATATGATTGATCGCTATCATTGTATGTTCTGTCTCAGGAACAAATACATACGGAGAATGAACGCCGTATAACTTTGACCCCCTGGGAAGTAGTGGGGTCCTGTGTCAGGTATGATGTGGTACGGGTTACGTGTACAAGCCGATACCTAATCCCGCATTTAGGCTGTATCGGAGGCCTTTCTGATACTGGTATTTGAACAACTTTGCTTTTTGGTGTGTGAGTGAAGTAAGCAGTGGTACGGCTTTATGAGGTCGCCTCTACACACGTCTTCAAATCGCATCAAGAGCATTTTAGAAGCGGAACCTCTTGCCTGTCTGTAAGGTTACCTAATGGCTTCCTCTCCCGACATCTTGGGTTGTCCAACAAAAAATGTCCATTGTTCTTTTTCAGCCTTGCTAGCACCATGGCTCTGTTAGGTCCGGTCTGTTGGTCCACCACTTTAATCCATCCTAAATTTGGTTGAATAGCTCATGATGAATCTTATTGACTTTATTGCTGCCCTGACTTTATGTCTTGTGCCACCGTGTTTTTTAGTGAAATGTCTGAACAACTATTGGATGGATTACCATTTA